TTCTTCAAAGAGATGGAAAAAACAATTACAAACTTTTTATGGAAAAGGAAGAGACTCAGGGTAAGCAAAGCACTGCTTAAGAAGAAGAATAAGGCTGGACACCTCTCACTCCCCAACTTCAAAATTTATTACACAGCTACAGTGTTCAAAACAGCCTGGTACTGGTACAATGGAACAGAATCAAGAATCCAGAAATTAACCCATCCACATAAGATTACTGATTTTTGACAAAGTACCTAAACATATCGCATGGGGATGGGACAGTCATTTTAACAGATGTTGCTGGCAGAACTGGAAAGCAATGTGCAAATGGTTGGAACAAGACCTTTACCCCATGCCTTATACAAAAACCAACTCCACATGGATTAAAGACCTAAATGTGAATCCCAAAATTATGAAGGTCATCAATGAAAAAATAGGGACAAATGTGAGGGCACTAATCCAGGGAATACACAGACTACAACTGTGCCAATTATCTCTTTGGGGGTCTTCCTCTTTTTGTCTGACCCCGCATTACACCAAATATGATATCCTTCTTCAAGAACAGGTCACTCCTGATAATATGATGAAGTCTGAGAGATGAAGTCTGACTATCCTGCCTTCCAAGGAGCATTCTGTCTCTACATATTTTAACACAGATTGGTTTGTTCTTTTAATATTCTCTGCCAACATCGTAACTCAAATGCATCATCTTCTACTGTCTTCTTTATTCATTGTCTAACATTCACATGAGGTTAATGAAAATACAATGACTTGGGTCAGGCACATCTCAATCTGGAAACTGACATCTTTGCTCTTTTCAATTCTTTAAAGAGATCTTGTGTAGCAAATTTGCCTAATGCTGTACGTTATTTGATATCATTACTGCTTTCTTCCATGAGTGTGATGGTTGATCCAAGCAAATTAAGTCTTTGATAATTTCACTCATTTCTCCATTTAAATGGATGCTGCTTATTGGTCAATTGGTGAGGATTTTTGTTTTCTTTAGATTGAGGTGCAACCCATACCAAAGGCTGTGGTCTTTGATCTTCATCAGTAAGTATTTTAAGTCTCCTTTGCTTTCAGCAAACAAGGTTGTATCAACTGCTTTTTGCATGTTATTTATGAGTTTTCTTCTAATCTTCATATAACTCAGCTTCTCTGATAATTTGTTCATTGTACAGGTTGAATAAATATGTTGAAAGAATATAACCCTGACTCATAACTGTTCTAATTTTAAACCATTTGGTGTTCCCTTGTTCTGTTGGAACAATTGCCTCTTGGTCTATATACATGTTCCTCATGAAAACAATTTAGTTTTCTGGAATACTCATTCTCTGCAATGTTGTCTATAACTTGTCATGATTCACAGAATCAAAAACTTTTGAATAGTCAATACAGCACAGGTAAATATCTTTCTGGTGTTCTCTCCTTTCAGCCAAAATCCATCGGATGTCAGCCATGATATTCCTTGCTCCACATCCTCTACTGAATCTGGCTTAAACCTCTTGAAGTTCTCTGTCAATGTGTGGTTGCTGCCATTTTTGCATCATCTTTAGCAAAATTTTACTTGCATGTGATAGTAATTATATTGTTCTATGATTTCGATGTATCTTTGCAATGGTCACAGATATGGACCTCTGAGTCAGTTACTCAGATAGTTGTCTTCCAAATGACTTGGCATTGATGAGTGAGTGCCTCAGGCATTGCATCAGTTTGTTGAAAGATTTCAATTTGTATTCCTGATTATTTGTTCTTTGCCAATACCTTTAATGCACCTTAGACTTTTTCCTTCAGTATCGTTGGTTCTTGATATGATATCTCTTGAAATGGTTAAACATTGACCATTTCTTTTTGGTACAGTGACTCTTTGTATTCCATCTTCTTTCACTGCTTTCTACATCATTCTATATATATTTTGTTCGTAGAATCCTTCAAATTGCAAGTCGAAGCTGGGATTTTTTCTTCAGTTTCCTCAGCTTGAGAAATGCTGAGTGTGTTCTTCCCTTTTGGTTTTCTAGCTCCAGATCTTTGCACATTTTGTTAAAATAGTTGATTTTGTCTTCACAAGCTGACCTTTGAAATTTACTATTCAGCTCTTTCATCTCCTTATTTCTTCTATTTTCTGTAACATCTCTATGCTGAAAAGCAAGTATCAGAGTCTCTTCTGACATCCATTTTGTTCTTTGCCTTGTTTCTTATCTTCTTAATGACCTTTGGCTTTCTTCCTGTATGATGTTATTGATGTCCTCGCGCAACTCTTCTGGTCTTCAGTCTTTAGTGTCTAACGCATGGAATGTGTCCTTCAAATGATCTCTAAATTAAGATGGGATTTGTTCAAGGTCATATTTTGGATCTCATGGACTTGGTTTAATTTTCTTCAGCTTCAGCCTGAGCTTGCATATGAGCAATTGGTTATCTGCTCCACAGACTGCCCCTGACCTTGTTTTGGTTGGTGATATGGAACTTTTATACCTTCTCCTTTCAAAATGTAGTCAATTTGATTTATGTGTATTCTATTTGGTGAAGTCTATATGTATAGCCATATTTTATGTTGTTTAAAATAGACATTTGAAATGATAAATCATTGATCTTGCAAAATTTTATCAAGTTATCTTCATTAGCATTTCTATCACCAAGGCCATATTTCCCAACCTTTGATCCTTTCTCTTTGTTTCCAACCATGGCATTCCAATCACCAGTAGTTATCAATACATCTTGATTGCATGTTTCTTAATTTCTGTTACTGCTATCCACAAGGTCAGCAGTTCAAATCCACTAATAATTCCTTGGAAACCATACTACACAGGGTTGCTATGAATAGGAATTGATTCGATATCATTTAATAGCATGTCTCCTTCTTTATTCTTTTCCTTCAGTCTTTTCCACTTGTTGTTATTGTTGTTGTTGTTAGGTGCCATTGAGTTGGTACTGACTCACAGCTACCATATGCACAACAGAACGAAATACTGCCCGATCCTGGGCCAACCTCACTATTGTTGCCATGTTTGAGATCATTTATACTGCCACTTGGCCAATCCATCTCGTTGGGGGTCTTCCTCTTTTTCTCTGACCCTCCACCCTATCAAACATGATATCTTTCTCCAGTGACTGGTCCTTCCTGAAAACATGTCCAAAGTATGAGAGACGAAGTTTGGCCATCTTGGCCTCCAAGGAGCACTCTGGCTGCACTTCTTCCAGAATGGATCTGTTTGTTCTTTTGGCAGCCCATGGCACTTTCAATATTCTCCTCCAACACCACAACTCAAAGGCTTCAATTCTTCTACAGTCTTCCTTATTTGCTGTCCAGCTTTCGCATACATATGAGGTTATTGAAAATACCATGGCTTGGGTTAGGCGCACCTTAGTCCTCAAGCTGACATCTTTGCTCTTCAACACTTTAAAAAGGTCTGTGCAGCAGATTTGCCAAATGCAATACATTGTTTGATTCCTTAACTAGATTTCTTGACTTGATATCTTGAGTGGATCAACTATCAACAATTCATGGAAGCATCAGTCAAGAGATCTTTTCCACTAATTAGTACTTAATCTACTACTTCTTTATCCTTTACTTTGAAGTAAAGAAAATTCTGGTGATGAGGTTCCCTATTCACTGAACTTCATTTTGTGGGACAAATCTGTAAGTGAATGATGTCTACACACATTCTTCTCTTACTGACATGGTAAAGGTCAAAAGACCAGGTCATTATGTGGAAATTGGTGTTATGCAAAATAGAGGATGGCAACATCAGCTAAAAAATGGAGAATTACTATATTATTATATAATTACCAAATTATGTGGTTTCTGTTGGTGTTAGGTGTTATTGATTTAGTTCCAATTCACAGCAACCCTATATATGGTTTCCAAGGTGTAAATCTGTTCTAGAGCAGAAAGTCTCAAATTTCTCCCTCGGATTAGCTGGTAGGTTTGAACTGCCAACCTTGTGGTTAGCAGTCCAGTGCTTATCCTACAATGCCATCAATATTCACTTACATCATTACATAACTCCAGATTGTATCTTTACATAACTCCAGAGTACAGCATTACATAACTCTAAATCACATACTTATATAACTGTCAAACAACTGAGAACCATGACCCAACCATGTTGATCCATATTCGTAACCAACACAGCATGTGTTTCTCCTCTTGTTGTTGTTAAATTCTGTCTAGTCAATTCTGACTCATAGAGGCCCTGTATAGGGTTCCCAAGAAGCAGCTTGTGGATTTGAACTGTTGACCTTGTGGTTTACATTTCAGTGCTGGTCCTACAGTACCACACCAGGAGTCCAGTGTTACTGTTACCTTATCATTCTTTACTACCAGATGTATAATGTTAATGCACAAAATATTTGGATAGGTTTTTTTACTACTGTCCTAATTGTGAAATGTTAGATGATGAGCTATTGCTAAGTGAGGAATTGATTGTAATAGAATTAAGAAAGCATTGACAGTAATAAAATTAAGAAAGGTAGCAATGGTATTAAAATGCTGTTAAAAAATTACTTTAGGCCTAGTGGTGCTGTAAGATAAGCACTGGACTGCTAACCACAAGGCTGATAGTTCCAAGGGAGAAAGATGATGCAGGCTACTCCAATAAACATTTACAGGATTTACAGTCTGGGAAACCCTATATAAGGTTGCTATGAGTTGGAATCTACTCAATGGTAGTGGGTTTGGTTTTGGGTTTGAAATTAAAAGCCAAACCAAGGAAGAGATAGATTAGTTAAAAATACTTTGTAATCATTATCATTGCTAAAGCCAGTCTACCATTATTTCTCTAGGGAAGAATTCAGAATAAATTACCTTATTTTAGGAAACCACTCACCCAAGCAAAGGGAAAGCTACATCATATGAGAGAAAAATGATTATTGGATAGATAGGATGAAAAATCAAAAGCTAAGATCAGTGTCTCTATTTCAGATAACAACAGAACATATTAATTATGAAAGATATTTACACCCTGAGTGATAATTCCATTTGCAAAACAGATCATCTGTTTCCCCATTCTCATCTTTAGGATCACAGTGACAACTTGCTTAGAGTTGCAGGGACAATGGCTCATGAAATGGGCCATAACTTAGGAATGTTCCATGATTCCTATGTTTGCAAGTGCCCTTCTACAATATGTGTGATGGACAAAGCACTAAGGTGAGACTTTCTAGAATATGCTATTTCTTCCTGGTCTTGCTTCATTCTGGGTTTTATTATTATTTACACCATCTTTAGAAGCACATTCTTGTTATTAAATTATTAAATACACAAGAACAGGTTTTGAAAATCATTAATATTTATCAAAAGTTCAATGAATTCATAGTGGGTGGTTATACGGACAGGGTTTGGGAGTAAACACACAAGCAAATATCCTTTCATAAGAGGAGAAGGGAATGTCGATGAAAAGAGTTTACATATTCCTTCTTATCTTATTTTGGAAAATTGCCAAGGAATTTTATCTCACAGCTCGTTTAATTATTATTTTTCTCTTTTCTATCCAGCTCTCCAAATCCCCTCAAGTTATTCTCTCTCCATGAAATGCCACTAGATAAAATGGAATATGGCTGCATACTAGTTATAATTTATACTATTTCCCCAGATATTACTGCATTATAAAACCTCATTTTTATCTGTAGAATTCAGAAGGTTCTATCAGAATTGTTCTAAAGAAAAGTGAATCCTTAGGCATGTAAATAGATATGATTCTAGTACTTTTATGACTTCACAACCAAAATAACCTGAAACCTAATAGATAATATAGATAGGTCAGAAACATTTTTCTTTTAATGAAACAGAAGCCTAAATAATACACTGCACGATAGGGCCATATTTGTTCATTAAGTTGGAGGTGTTTCTGTTTATCCAGTTGAGTTAAATCTGGTACACAAAAGAGCTCATGATTTAGCAGTTTGGTTAATAGACTGAGTCTGGTTATTTCGGCAGGTCGTGGGTATAATCATATGGAATGTCTACTATATTGCTCCATACTTTCTAAGCACGACTGAGTTTCTTTTACTCTTTTCTTGTTTTCACAGCTTCTACATACCCACAGACTTTAGCTCCTGTAGCCGGGTCAGCTATGATAAGTTTTTTGAAGATAAATTATCAAATTGCCTCTCTAATGCTCCACTACCTACAGATATCATCTCAACTCCAATATGTGGGAACCATTTGGTAGAAATAGGAGAGGACTGCGATTGTGGAACTCCTGAGGTACTATCCAGAACTTTATTAAATCACCTAGTTTGTTTCCAGAACATTGCTAAGAAGATAAACTACACAAAAATGTCTGTCACTGTATAAAAGTGAATGTTTCTTGTGGCTTTGGATAGTTTCATTTGTAAATTTTTGTGCAGGTAGTCTTCTGACAACAAATCATGACTTACTTAATAACCAGTAAACTAGTCAACCAATCAACCAACCAACACACCGACCAGTTACTGTCAAGTTGATTCTGATCCATGGTGACCGCACATATGTCAGCATAGAACCCTGTTCCACAATATTTTCACCTTGGTTAATGTCAAAACCAAGTCCATTGCCGCCAAGAAAATTATAACTCATAGTGACTATGGTGGTTTGTGCTGTGGAGTCGGTTCCGACTCATAGTGACCCTGTACAGGGTTTCCGTGGCTATAAATCTTTACTGGAGCAGAAAGCCTTACCCTTCTCCCATGGAACAGTTGGTAGTTTCGAACTGCAGACCTTGAGGTTCGCAGCCCAATTCGAAACCACTAAGCTACCAGAGCTCCTTCATAGTGATTATGTTGTTGTTGTTGTTAAGTACCGTGGTGTTGGTTCCGACTCATAGTGACCCTGCACAGGGTTTCTGAGGCTGCAAATCTTTACGGGAGCAGAAAGCCTCATCTTTCTCCTGCGGAACAGCTAGTAGTTTCAAACTGCTGACCTTGAGGTTAGCAGCCCGATTCGTAACCACTACGCTACCAGAGCACGTTTCATAGTGACTATTGTTGTTGTTAAGTGCCGTCGAGTCGGTTCCGACCCATAGCGACCCTGTACAGGGTTTCCGAGGGTGTAAATCCTTACGGGAGTAGAAAGCCTCAT